AATATCAGAAGCCCTTCAACACCTCTCTGTCTGAGACACCTCGGATTTAATTCTAGGTGAGCACTTAAATCCTGGTGAATTTGAGAGGGTTTAAGGCAGAAAATCAGAAAACACAAATGCCTGAGCTGGGCCCCTTGGCTTGGGGCTTTTGGCCATAACATTCTGGAGATTTATAATAAAGGATGGCAATTGAGGTGTTCATTTTGTGAGCTTTCACTTGCATAAGGTCACTTCAAATTTTCACTCGGTGCCTATAAACTCTCATTTTTAAATGGTTGACAGGGAGAGATTTCAGCTGAAGCTTTGATACAGTGATTAAAGAAGCCATGATGATATGGCTGATAGACTGATAGATTCACAGTTAGAGCAAAGGCATTATCCATCCTAGGGATCAGATTCTATAATTTCCTCTATGACACGTTTCTCAGTGTAATTCATCAAAAGCTTTTCTGATAACCACCACTCTCCTGTGAAGTCCCACTTACCCAAACAGTCTGGCAACAGCCAAGCTAAAAGCCCATTCCTTGCTGGAATTTTCCCCCTCCCTTATTAAACTGCTCTGTCCCCAAATATCCTTCTCAGGGGGCTGCCATTCTTAAAAGGCTCATTTCCTACCGAGGGGCAGGAGATGCTGCTGCGGCAGATAACGATCTGAAAAGCGAGCTGCTCAAAAGGAAATTGCAAAATAAGACCCAAATCCAACTCTCAGTGGCAGGCAGGCTCTTTGCTGAGCTGGGTTCGGCGAGATGGAAGCGCCGATATGCGAACGCGTTATCGAAATCTCTGTTTGGAGAGAGCAGCCAGCCAGAGCCCGGCAGCACATGTACTTTTTTGGGTCTATCAGGTAATTTCTGTGGGCCTCCCACCCTCCAGCCCCTCAGGACATGAACCCTTTTCAAGCTGTGTTGGAATCAAGGCCTGCAAAGAGCTGCTCGTTGGCCGCTTGCCGAGAAGTCAACGCAAGATGTCTACGCTGCATCTAAAGGTAAGAAAACCCACCAGAACACCTCAAATTGTTTTAATCCCATCAGAGTCAGGCCTTGCTGGCCCAGTTTAAGGCCAAAGCTCAGCCTGGTGGTGGCACATGCCTGCAGGGACCCTTGGACATGGACACCCAACCCAGCTCTCCTCCTGCTGTTCCGAGCATCGCATCCCACGCCCGGCGGAGCGCGAGACCCAGCGGTGATTTACCTGGGGTGATTTACCTGGGGTGATTTACCTGGGGTAGCGGAGCTCTCCACACCTCCTTCCTGCAGGACTGGGGCAGCTGGAGCCTGGGAGGCAGCAGGATCTAAGGATGTTTCAGCAGCATTTTCGGTGCAGCCGGAGGGTCCGGCGGCTCAGAGCACTCGCCAGCTCAGTGCCGGATGCAGTCACGCTCTGCCCCCCTGGCGATGGCAGGAACGAGCCCACAGGAGGTTCCATGATGCCTCCCTCCTGTCAACTGCCTCGTTTAAATATATTTGGGTGTTTCTCTGCTGTCCTGCAACCACTTTGCTCCAGGGTTTGGGACCCTGCGCTGCTTGACCGGGTTCTGCGTCTTGCTCCGTCTTCCAACAGCTTCGTGCTAAAAAGCAGCTGAGCTTCCTTGGAGCAGAGCAGTCCTGAGGGCAGGGAGCCAGCTGCAGTCCCCAGCAACTCAGCTGCCACCCAAAAAGTGCTCTGGGTGCTTCCAGGCAAACAGCTTCCATAGGGATAAAATATTTTACCTCACAGGGGATGTGGTCCCAGCACCTCACACGGCTCCGTGTCTCTGCTGAGGGTGGATGGGCCTTCACCTGCCCGTGTTCTGGGAAGTTTTCTGGCTCAGGAATAACTTGCAGCATCACTTAATAATGATGGGGTGCAAGCAGCAGCCTGGCAGACCCCTCTTGATGGTTCCCACCAGATTTAGGGAGGGCTGGGCCACTGCTCCATGGGAACTGATGATGCTGCAGCTCTCACAGTGAGCCAGAGTTTGGGTGCTGGGAATTCCCTGCAGCAGCCTGGCCTCTCTTGTGTTTTTTCCCTGGAAGGAGACAGGTCAGGAACCATTTCTGCAAAATCCCTAATCATGGGGATGGCATTTGCTGGCATTTCACCATCTCCATCACCCCCACAGCAATCCTCTCCCAGGGAGAAAACATCCCAACATCCCAGTGAATCCGCTGGACCTTCTAAAGGCAAAGAGAAGAACAGATCCCAAGAAGAACTACGTGCCCCAGGAGCTGCACCACAAATCGGGGTCCCCTGCCACATCCCCACTATGGGTCAGTCATTTCCCACATTCCCCTTCATCCCCTGGGACTGCAGGATCATCAGCTCCCTCACCAGGAGAAGTTAGTCCTGCTCTACCCACTGTGCCACAGGTAAATATTTAACTGAAACTTGCTTGTTTGTTGGGGGTTTTTTTAATGTGTTTGCTATTGCAACGTTTCTCTCTTTCAAGTGCTCGGTGATGGATAAACAGATTAACAGGTGGGAGAAGTGTTTGATAAACAGAGGAAAAAAAAAAGGCTTTTTTAGAACACCCTGCTTGGGCACGATTTGAATCAGCCAGAGCTCGCAGTGGAAGTGGCTACACTAAAGGAAATGCATAAAAAGGAACACAGATAACATATTTTTAGCCTCAAAGCAGGTTTCTTACATGAGGAAAGCTCCATACATAGAGCTGGCAAGAGGTGCATTTTACACCCAAGGTGCAAAACGTATTTCTGAGGCACCTGAGGGCAGGTTTGTGCAGCTGAGAGGGTGAGACACACCCTGGGACAGCCCCTGCCTGGCAGCAGTGAAGGGCTGCACAAATATCACTTACCAGACCTGGGATGCTCCAGCAGCTTGAGACACATTTAATCACATTTCTTTGGGGTGTAAGAGCTTTTTCTGCTGTTTTATTAACAAGATGGATACAAAGTGTCATAAATAATGCTAAATAGTGTCATAAATAATGCTGTGTTTGGCTCTGTCACTCTGGGCTGTGTCCCAGGAGCAGGCAGGGATGGGCAGCACAGGCAGGGACAGGCAGGGACAGGCTGATCCTGAAGAGTTGAGGGGCACCATGGGTTGAAAACAGGACATCTCTTCCCCCTGCAAACCCAGTGTATTCCACATATTGAGGTACAGCTCAAAGTACACATGAATCAAAGCCTTTTTGTCCCACTTTTCTGGGCAAATATGGCCGAGTTGCTCCCAAAAGACAGAAAAAACCCAACAATTTTGCTCCACTTGAAATAAAAACGTTGATGCACCTTTGAGAATTTAGCTCTTAAAATTCCTTCTAAAATAGCTAAAAAGTAGAAATAATTTTGCTTCACTTCAAAAATTTCTAAATGAAAAGGTTTGGCCCTCTTTATGACTTTCATCTTCGCATTTTCATGCTGAATCCGTTGTTAGGAGTTTGCAGATTATGATGATCCAATTGGGGAACCTTTTGAACAAAATAAACCATTTCACTGCAAGTGTTTGGCGTGTCTGTGCTACAGCTCACCCTCACATTTATCTCTGAAGCCCAGTGACCCTTCAGGCTGGGTTTTCTGACAGGATTTTCGGGTTATAAACCATGTCTGGAACAATCCACTTGCTGCTTTCAGCTGATCTGGCACTTGGCTGCAGCTGCTTTTGTTTTAGGAAGTTTCTTTTTAATCCATGAATATATGATTAGGGCGAGAGGGGAAATACATTAAATACATAAAGTGCATTAAACTGCATCTTAAAAGGGAAACACATAATCACTTGGTGTAAAGCTACTCAGTAAAAAACCACTGCAGCCACCAATCTGGGCACAGGGAAATGCAGGGAATTTTCATTTGACTGGGAAAAATATGTCAGCATCTGCCATCAGCATCCACTCTGCCTTGCCCTGCATCTCCCTGCTTATACCAAAAAATTTGATAAGATTTTTTTTTAAGCTTAATCTCCCTGCAAAGCTGCAGAGAGGAGGAGCCTTGGAGCATCTCCCAGGGGCAGAGACACAATTCCCCCCAAAAAGGAGACACAGCTTGGCTCTCTCACGGCCCCATTGGTACCTGGGCCTCACAAGTGAGGACTTTAATTTCCTGGGGGAGGGCTTTAACTGGATAAAACAGACTAACTGGGACAAACAAAAAATTGATTAGCACAGTGCTAAGGGTAGAAACCCCATTAAAGAGTAAAACACCTGAGTAAAACACCCCCTTTGTGGCCCCCACCATTAGTGACAGGAACAGGGAAAACAAGGACAGCACAGCATCATCCCTGGCCTGAGGGATGGTGGCAGCAAGAAAACCCTTTCCTCCCCCCACTCACTTCCCCCACTCCCCTCCCCTCATATCTGAAGGCTTTATTTGTTCATCAGCATTTTCTGTTTGCACTCAGAGGCTTTAATGAGACGCCCGTCCCGGGTTAAACAAAACTCACAGGGGACGAGCCCATTAGTGGCTGTAAAGCAACAGGGAACTGTCTCCCATGAAAAGCCACTTCTTCCTGGCACCCACTGCTGTTTAAAAGGGAAAGCTGGAGATTCCAGAGCAGTCCATCACTGCTAATTAGTGTTTTCTTTTTAGTTTGGTGGCTGCTCTGATGCTACAAATGCATCCTTTTCCTGCACTCCCTGCAGCTGCCGGGGTTTGGGGCACCCCATGGCCACGGGCAGGTCCCTGGGGTGGAGCTGTGGGGCAAAAGAAAGGGGAAACGCTCCCCTAGAGAATTTTGGGGGGACTTCTACCGGCTGTGTGATTGCCAGCGGGCAGGGACTGCTGTTGGGATGAGCGCCCCGTCCTGCTCCCACTTCCCTAAGACCTTCCCTGCCCCAAAAGCAGCGGGCACGGCTCCCTGCAGGTCCCCCCCACGCCTCCCTCACCCACAAAAGCAAACCTGACCCCGCAGTGCCCGTTCTGCCTCGCCTGGGATTCATGGCCAGTGATTCATGCCCGGTGCCCGAGCGCGGTGTTGACTCTGGCAGGGGCGTTATCGCGGGCGCCGGGCGGCCCTGGGGGTATAAGAACAACCTGCAGAGAGCCCAGCGAGGCCACCGAGCCGCCAGCATGAAGCACCTCCTCCTCCTCGCCATGCTCTGCCTCTCCCTGGCCAGCGGCCTGAAAAGGTAAGGGGGTCCCTGAGCTGCACCCCAGTTCCCCAGGCTCTTGGAGGGGCTTTGCTCTTTGGGTGCTGCCAGAGCTGTGATGAGTGGGCAGAGCTGAGCTGCCCGGGCACAGACACCTTGTGCTGGCACCACACCATGGTTTCTGGTTTCTCACATTGCTCCGTGGGCTCCATCCCTCTGGGCAGACCCCATCAGCAGCAGTGGGATGAGGTGGGGTGTGTAAACAGGGTCTGTGGAGGCAGACAGGGCAGAAAACACTGGCATGAATTCCCCTTGGCCCTGCTCACCTCCCCCAGCCTTAAGGCCCTTTCCATCAGTCACGTTGAGCTCCTGCCCATCCAGTCACTGCCAGGACGTGCATCCTCTCCTGCCAGTTTTGCCCTTGATTTGCTGCCTCCTGAAGCAGATCCAGTCCCCCCGTTTCGCTGTGCCTCGGCCAGAAGGATCTGCAGTGGGGGATGTGGGGAAACACACTCTGTACCTGCATCCTGGCTGTGCTGGGACCCTCAGGGCGGGCACAGGGGCTGCAGGACTCCAGCAGCACCCACGGCCCCATGTGAGTGACCAGGACCCTTCTCCCCCAGGGTGCCCCTGGCCCGGCGCCGCTCCCTGCGGAAGCTGCTGCGGGAGCGTGGGCAGCTCTCCCACTTCTGGAAAGCCCACGGGCTGGACATGGTGCAGGACAGCGAGGACTGCGCTGCCTTCTCAGAAGCCAACGAGCCCCTCATCAACTACCTGGATGTAAGCAGGGCACAGGAGTTTGCCTGAGCAGTCCCCAGTGCTTCCCAGAAATCCCACGCCTGCAGCAGTGCCCGGCGTGCCAGGACTCGCTGCCTGCCCGTGCCTGCCTGGCCCTTTGTTCCCGGGAATGTGGCGATGAGGACAAGGCAGAGCATTCATGGCAGGCACTGCCAGCCCTCTCCCTCCCTGCTGCATTCCCCCCCACCCACAAGGAGACAGATTTCCTCCAAAACTAACTTTTTACACACTCGTCAGAGCAAGTCCCACCACAGAGGACCCAGAGGTGGAGGGGCTTCCCCAGGCTCATCCCATTCCCCAGCAGTGCCCCCACAGCCCCTTCCATGGTCTGCATCCTGGTGATGAGGGTCTCCTCAGGGCCCAGCCTTCCCAGGAAGAGGATGGAGCCTGCACCCACCATCCTGCCTTTTGTCCTCAGCCTCCCTTGTTGTCCCTTAAATATTTGTCTCCTTTATTTCACCCGGCACGACGTGACTGTGATAGAACCCCATCCACGCCCTGTGGTCACCCCACCACAGGCTCCCCTTCGCCAGAGTTTCTTGGTGTGCTGCCAACTCATGGTGGTCCCTGCTCCACTCTTTGCTAGATGGAGTATTTTGGGCAGATCTCCATCGGAACTCCCCCCCAGAACTTCACCGTGGTGTTCGACACGGGCTCCTCCAACCTCTGGGTACCATCTGTCTACTGCGTCAGCAAAGCCTGTGGTGAGTACAGCTGGACCAGTGAGGCCACGGGGTCACCAGCACACCCAGCTGAGCCCTTTTGGGGGCCCTCCCCACCCAGCTGAGCCCTTTGGGGGCCCTCCCCACCCAGCTGAGCCCTGCAAGGCACACACAGATAACAGAAACCCGGGGGGCAGGCGGGGGAGCCCCAGTGGGTGTGTCTGCCCAGGAGTGGGTGGGGATCACACCACCAGGACCCAGGTGACAATGGCCATGTTCTTTAGGCTGTTCTTGTGGGAGCCTTTAAACAAACAGGCAGAGATGGTAGCACAGAATAGGGCTGGTCAGCAAGGGGCAGGGTGGCAGGAGCGGGAGGGCACAGCTCTGGGCTGGCCGCCCAGGGGCTCGGTGGGTGACAAGCACTGGGCTTGTTTGGGCTGTCAGTGATGAGCCAGTCCTGCTGCCGTGGGACATAGAGCATCTCTGAGCAGCCCCAGGGCTGCCCCAGAGCCCAGGGGGAATTGGGGAATATCACTGGATACTGCAGTGCCCATGGGGCTGCTCCTGGCTGCAAACCAGGAATAGCAGTGCTCATCTTCGGGACTCATAAAAACATCACATGAGCTAATCCTGCTCCTCTACCAATCCTGGCACCTTTCAGTCAGATTGAAATGGGATAAGTTTTATCCCTCCTCAAAACTGCAGCACAACCCTTGGCAGTGTGCCCGTGACCAGGAGTTTCGGTGACACCACCCTCCATCATCATTTCTCTCCACTGGCCGTGCTGGGGGCTCCTGGCAGCCGTGGCCGTGCAAAAAAAAATCACATTTCTGCTGACAGATCCCATCTCCTTCCCCAGCTGGACACGCCAAGTTCCATCCAACACAGTCCAGCACCTACCAGGTGATAGGGACCCCTTTCTCCATCCAGTACGGGACAGGCAGCCTGACGGGGCTCATCGGATCCGACCAAGTAGCCGTGAGTCACCTTTGGCTTCTCCTGCTCTGGGCAACGTGCCTGGGACTCGCCCATGGACTGAGCACCCCCATGGAACCCCCTCCTCCCTGCAGGTCGAGGGTCTCACCGTGAGCAACCAGCAGTTTGCAGAGAGCATCAGTGAGCCAGGAAAAGCCTTCCTGGACGCCGAGTTCGACGGGATCCTGGGCCTGGCTTACCCCTCGCTGGTCGTGGATGGCATCACTCCTGTCTTTGACAACATGATGGCACAAAATCTGGTGGAGCTGCCCCTGTTCTCTGTCTACATGAGCACGTATGGACACAGCCTTGCTCCGGGATGCTGCTTAGAGCCTGGCATTGCTTGAGGGAACAGGAGGGCCTGCTAAAATAGAGATGTTTTACTGAGCTGGTGAAGGGGGTTTGGTGCCAGGCTGAGCATCACAGACCTTTGGCCTTACAGGGATAGCATTTGTGGGAAGCAGGCAGGTGTAAATCCACCCATTTAAAATGTTATTTGCAAAGTCAACTGGGAAAAAAACGCCTCATGGCTTTTCCTCCTCCCTCCAGGAACCCCGAATCCCCCCTGGGAGGAGAGCTGCTTTTTGGGGGTTTTGACACATCCCGCTTCACGGGGACCCTGAACTGGGTGCCAGTGACCCAGCAAGGGTACTGGCAGATCCAGCTGGACAAGTGAGTGGTGCTGGACAGGGAGGGAAGGCTGGGCTGGGGGGGAGGAGCAGGACAAATCCCTCCTGGTCCTTCTCTCTCACCTCTTCCAGCATCCAGGTGGGTGGGACAGTGACCTTCTGCGCCGACGGCTGCCAGGCCATCGTGGACACCGGGACATCGCTCATCGCAGGTCCCACCAAGGAGGTCAAACAACTGCAAAACTACATCGGTGCTGTGCCTGTGGATGGAGAGGTGAGAGGCAGGGTGGGGAGAGGAGGGGGCAAAGCCCTGGGAGCCCCACCCTGCCCGGAGTGACCTCCCAGCTGTGTTTCAGTACGCCGTGGAGTGCAGCAACCTCAACGCGATGCCCGACGTGACCTTCACCATCAACGGGCTCCCCTACACGCTCAGCGCCCAGGCTTACACCCTCATGGTATGGCTGTGGCACCACCACCCCCCATTCCCAGCAGCTCCAGTGACAAAGGTGGCCCAGAGCCACGCCGGGAGCTGAGCCCTGTGTCCCAGCAGGTGACAAGCCCCTCTGCTCCGTGCTTTGTCACCGTTCCTGCAGTGATTCTGTGGGTACGAGGCTCTCGGGCTCATTGCCAGCTTTGCCCTTCTCCTCCCCCAGGAGGAAGGTGGTGGTGTGACCTTCTGCCTCAGCGGCTTCATGGGCAATGACATCCCCCCTCCGACAGGACCCCTCTGGATTCTGGGAGACGTTTTTATCCGTCAGTTCTACTCCGTCTTTGACCGTGGGAATAACAGGGTGGGGTTGGCCCCTGCTGTCCCTTAGGGCTGGGGCATCCTGTGGGGTAGGAGGGGAACAGAGCCACCAGGATGCTGCCCTTGGGCAGGCCAGGGGATGTCACTGCTGCATCGGTGTCCCCAAGGGGGTGAAGACACCTGAAGAGCCCAGCAGAAGGTCAGTCCACGCCAGGATACAACTTCATAGTGAACATAAAAACACCTCGAGCAGCTCCGTGATCTGCTCTGTAAATTCTGTATTTTTTAAACATGAGCCAATAAAAGCTTTAATAAACCAAAACTGTTTGTGTCATCAGGAGCCCAGCAGTGACCCTGTGGGTCTCAACTGCTTTGCATTGGGGTGTAAAATCCTCCTCCCCCAGATCCTGCCCTCCTCCCTCGGTGACCCATGGCACTGCCAGGGCTGTACGTTCAGTGTGGCTGGAGCTTCCCTGCTCTGGAGGGAGCCTTGGCAATGCAGGATCCAAAAGGTCAACCTCGTGGTCCTCAGCTGGGATTTCCACAGGGGCAGAAAGAACAGGATGCTCTGCCCAGGTGGAGGTGGCTGTGGGCATCCCTGGGCATCCCGTGGGCCTGAGGCCACCACTGTGGGCAGGGACTGAGGGAGCCCTGGGAATGCACACCTCAGTCAACTGAGCTGCTGCTGGTAAACAAGAAAGGAACAAGGAGACTGGAAAGACCCTTGGGGCTCTTCCTGTGCCATAAAACTCCCAGAAAAAAAAGGTGATTCCCAGTGAATTTTCCTTTGATTCCCTGGAGGAACTTACAGAGACAACGTGGCTGGTGGGTGCTCAGCAAAAGAAAGGGCAAAGCACCTCCTGAGATCTGGGCTGGGCTGTGGGGTCCAAGGAGTTGCTGCAGCACATGTGACTCACTGAGGGTGCAAGGGATGTGTGAGAAGGCAGGAGCAGCTGTGGCTCATGCATGAGACACCCCAGGCACACACGGAGGGCAGCGAGAAAGGGAACAGTGGAAAAGGGTTATTTTTATCCAGGCCTTTGCTCTGTTTGCTGACGCTGAAACAAGCGCTGACTCCAGGGTGACAGGGTGTCCATGTGTCAGACCAGGCTTCATGGCTGCTCCATCATTCCCAGGGTTGGGTCTAAGAGTGCTGGAATACTCGGAACTGGTTGTAAACTTGGTGGCCCAGCCTTGTGGTTTGCAATAAAAGAAGATATCTGCCTTACTCAGAAACACTGATTGTGCCACTGACCAAGTGTGGGTTCTCTAACGTTTCCTGTGTTGACTTCACCTCAGCTCTGCTGCAGTCAAAGATAAGGTGCTGGGGCAGCTGGACAAAGGTCTCCTCTCCCTCTTCCACCTTAACTCTTAGCAGGCCAAGGTGCTGCTGGGCACCAGCCCATCACCACAACCACAGGCAGGGGGGGAGCATCCAGCCCCCCAGCCTGATGAGGGACCACCCAGAGTCCCCAAACAGCAGCTGGCACTGAGACATGGCCCAGCCTGGACTTCACCAGGACTGCTCTGGTGCCCTGTGCCCTTGGGATGCCAGAGCATTCTTGACAGGTTCTGAGGGGGATGTTGCTCCAGAAAATACTAAGCATCCCAATAAGGAGCAACTCACCTCCTGCTGTCCCCCAGAGAGGCTGAACAGCGTAAGGAACAGTTTCATCACTCAGATGCCTTTTGCTTTCTTCCCTTTCCCTCACTCTCCCAGCCCCGTGAGTGTCACCACAGAGAACAGCCCGTGCCCTCACTGTCCACCCCAGCCTTTCCTCTGCCTCTGGCAGCCCCCAGCCTGTGTTTCGTGGTCTCCCAGCTGCGAGACCTTCCTCATAGTCACAGGGCACCAACCCCAGCCTTTCCCTCTGAATTGCTGACGTGGTGGAGCAACCAGGGCAGCACTGAAGCTGTGGTTGCTGGAGCTGCTGATCCACGTCTTGCCCATCACCTCCTCCACATCACTGCCTCCATCCAGGGTGAATCTCACCCCAGGAGAGCAGAAGCTTTGGGAAAATCCTGTTTCTTGTGAAATCAAACAAAAGCCAGAGCTGGCTCTGAGCCTGGGCTGGCCACCCTGATGGGCACAGCCCTCCTGCCCAAAAGCAGAAGTGGCTGAAGGCACCAGCTGTGGCAATGCAACCACAAACCCCATCTCCACCAGTGCAGAGGGGCATCGATCATCTGACTGGGTGAGCAACCCCCATCCCACCAGGACATGAGAGAGGAACGAGGGCAGAAGTTGCTGAGGGGGAGGCTGAACAGTAAAGTCTCACTGCAAGGACAAAGGTGAAGCAGCACGATGAAAATAGGCTGAAAACAGGGATTAGGAGAGATCTGCTGCAGGGAAACATCAGCCTTTTACCCACCAGCAGTGAGAACTGGCTCAGGTGCTTCTGCCTCATCCCAGCTCCTCCCAGTGCCTGCCCTCTGGGGGGAAAACCAGATTTTTCTGGCCAGACAGGTCCCAAAATTACACCTGGGGAGGAGGAGGGGGGTTAGTCCTGCTGAGTGCAGCAATCCTCCCTGAGATCCCATAAGGGATCTCTATATTGGAAGAAAAAAAAACCTACAAAAATGAGGGCAGCCAGTGGCAAAACAAAATCTGGTGGTCTCCGAGGAACCCTGTGCCTGGGTCCCTCTCAGGCCACCAGCAACCACTGGCTCAGGGTGAGGGAGCCAGGAGGGTTCACAAAATGGGGGGACACCCCACTCCCACTGCAAACCCCAAAGCCTACAGAATGTTTGGCAAAGGCTCAGGACCTGCCCTTGCACGTTGGGAAGCACAGCTCTGCCTTTGCAGCCAGAGCCAAGCAGGTTTTCCCACTCCAAAAAACCGTGGGCACCAGCCTGGTGCTCGGAGAAACAACCAGAGGCTTCCTCTGTTGCTCCATGGTGGCAGCTGAGATCCTAAAATCCCACTTGCCAGTTGAACACTTCCTCCTCCAGGAGATGCCACCAGGTCTGGTTGCTGGGCTCTCATCCTGGCAAGGTCCCCTCCTTTTGGGATGCTTGGATATCTGGCTGGCTGTGGATGCAGGGTGGGAGCCCCTGTGGAATGGGAGTTGCAGGGATACAGCACGAGGTGGAAACGCTCCTGCTTCCCACCCTGCCCCTCTCCTGCCTGCAAAACGAGATGAAGATGCAGAGAGCTCCCAGTCCCCTCAAATGGATCCCACCCCCCCCCCCCTGCCCCCGGCCCCCCCCCCCTGTCCCCAGCTCCCAAATTCGCTTATCCCACCCCGCACTATCAGAGCCGCCCGAGCAAAGTCCGGGATGCTCCCGGGATGCTGCCGAGAGCTGTTCCCAGCCCTCGATAACCCCCTCGGCAGGAACGCAGATAAGGGGTCCCGCGGAGGTGGGTGAAAGGTACCGGGGGGATTCTGAGCGAGAGGAGAGGCCAAAAGTCAATCCCAAACTCCAGCGGACGAGGAGAACCTTGTTCTCCTTCCCCTGCCGGAGCCCGAGCCGGGAGGGCTCGGCAGAGCCCCGGAGCCGAGGGCAACTCCGCTGCCATCCCAGCGCCCGCCCGCGGCTCCTCCGCCAGCCCCCGCAGGATCTCGGCCCCTTTCTGCTGATGTCACGGAGCGGGGCCCTGCAGCCGCCTTCTTTCCTGGATCCTCCTCTCTCGCCTCTCCCCTCCCTGGGCCGCCGGCTGGAGCGGAGCCCAGAGCCTCGGCTGCCCGGCCGACGGATGCCCCGGCAGGTGAGTGCTCTGCCCTCCGGTCCCTCCGGCCCCCGGGATGCAGCTGAGACTCCCCCCCCCCGGAGCAGGAAAAAAAAGTTTGGAAAACTCCATTTTGAGTTTAAAACCATCCGGCCTCCGAGGAAGCTGGCAAAAGGACTGGAAGGAGAATGCGTGCTGAGCCATGAGGCTCTGCCTGTGCCCGGGATGCTGCCCACGGCCGGGCTGGGGTGGCAGAGGGGTGCAGGGGGGTCTGGACCCCACAGCTGAGACCCGCCCTGGCAGAGGGGGTGTTCCAAGGGGGAATGGCGAAGGGCTGGCCAACGCATCGGGGAAAAATGCAGGGAAGAGGCTGCCAGCGTTTCCATCCGTGCCTTGGCCGGCGCGGGGCCGGGCGGTGCCTTGAGGATGGGGCTGCTGGGAGTGCCGGAGGATGCTCATCCCGCCTGGGGAGGGGGTTTGCTGGAGGTGCTCAGGGCTCCTGGCCGGGCACAGAGCATGTGAGGACACCAGGACATGCTGGGATGCAGCCTGAGGGGAGCCTTTCAGGGTGCTCCTGGGCTGGGATGCTCCCTGGGCTGTGCTTGGGGCACCCGAGGAATTCCACCAGGCTGGGGTCTTCTTTAATCAATGTAATTTTCTGCAGGATCCCCATTGTGCACAAGGTGTGTGTCCCAGGTTTAGGGGGAGGGACTGTGCTGGAGAAGGAGTGGGAGAGGCAGGGAAGTTGCTCCCAGCAGCTTTGAATGGAGATGAACTGGCGTGTCTGGACGTGCAGCGGCACCTCGGGAGCTCGTCACAGGCAGTGACGTGGGCTCATCATGGGAGTTTCTGTCCCCACCATGGCTGGGACACAAGTGCAGTGGGGTGGTGGCACAGCACAGACGTGGCATGGACACAGTGCTGGAATGGCATGGACACGGTGCTGGAATGGCATGGACACGGTG